TTTGTGTTGCAGCGGATCACATCCAGCTGAAGCTTCCTCAAGACATTTTTAAAGGATGTGTTTTCATCAGCATCGTTCAACATTGTCTGTGATTGCTAGCTACAAGTGCACTTCGTCAGCTACAATATCAACAATCTTCCCGAGAACCCCGTAGCTTCCCGGTTTACTGAGCTGAAGATTTCGCTGAAAAGGCTTCCAGCTCATTCCTACTGCTCTTCTAGACATGTACAGTAGATCTTTCTATGAATTCCGCCGGATTTCCTTTAAGTTCGCTGAATTATGCGTCCGGGGTTGTTTCTCTTCAGTGACAATTAGCTCTTGCAAGGCTTTATAGGTGCGTGTGTTACGTGCATATTTTTACCTCCTTGTGGCTATGCAAGCTCCTTCGATCCTGGAAAAACTTTAGCTTTTTGCCCAGGTTGCACTCGCTTATTTCAATCCAAATCTGCTTTGTATTTATGAGGTGCATGCTGGCATCAGGCGAAGATTGAACAGCCATATTTGCTTTTTCCCTTGAGCGAAGTTTGAGAATCGGATATCCCAGTTGACTCTCCGCCTCCCTCTGCTTCTACAGAAATCTTTATATTCGTTCTATGTCGCGCAGTATTTGGGTCTCCCGGCTGGCAGACCGTGTGTACGACCTAGTATATAAAAGCTGTTTGCTAAAGAAACTAAGTCACGCCAATACAAAACAAAAACGATACCTTTGATTTCCATAGTCCCTTTGTGGAGTGCTATTAGGGCTAATAATCTGTAAATTTGTTGGATTGCATCTCGCCCTAAGGTTAGAGTTTGGGTCGTACTGTCTGTCAGCATGTCACTTTGGTAACCATGATGCCGAAAATTATTAAACTGATGAAAAAATCACCCATCTTAGCATTTTGTGTCTAGGTTGAATTACTAGGTCAATACTCTTTTTATAAGGCTCCCAGGTTAGTAGGCACTAACAGCAGAAATTCTGCTAATTTTTAGAACAGTAGCTCAACCACAACCGCTCTCCGCGAAACCGAATCTGTTACATGTGAGCTGGTTTGAGTCAATGAGAGTGAAGTTTTGATTAATCCTAGTTTCTTCTTTCTTGAAAGACCGGTGAAGATTCTGTCGATTGCGAGAACGGCAAATGAATATTGACTGACGACGTGGTGACAAGCACCATATGTTTCGATTAGGTTCTGTAGGATATTTGACCAAACGTGTCCATCGCTCATAAGATCACTGTTGGAAAATATCATATTTAATATTATGCTCAGATCACTACAGGCAATGGCAAACCCATCTTCGATGAGACTTATTGGCAACGAAATTTTCGCTAGCTTTGTTATTCGTACATAAGGGCTCTATACAAGATAACGCTTATAACGCATAATGGCAATGGTCTGTTCTTGTCGAATTCGTCGTCCTACATATCAACAGGCAAAACAGATAGTCCAAGACTACTTCTGCACGTTATGTGTGCACATTACTAAGCAGAAGCAGCAAGCTTTGACATAATGTTGCAGTAGCGACAATTACGATGCTAACAGTCGTAGGTCTCGTTTGTGCGTTTAGAGTAAACGGAATTCACCGAGAAGATAAAATAAGCTTTACTAGCGCTGTAGGAACTCGAGGGAATTTGGTTATGGTAATATGACATCAATAGCACACAATAAATCTAAGAGTACGCTGGAAGCAGTCTGTAAGGTGAAATCCAAAAGCTTGTATTTTCTCATTCCTCCGGGAAAGAGACAAAGCAGCGAATTGCAAGGATGTTTGAAGCAATTGGAATCTAGGAGGCTGGACTACAAGCTCCCAAATCTTAGAATTGATAACATGACTTTAAGTTCATCTTATCGTTCCATTTTAAAACTATAGCATTGGTAGAAACAACGAACGCTAGAAAATGCCCTGCGTGTCGAAGCATAAACACTAACGGAGTGATCGACGAAAATCGCCGTACATCACGTTCGATCATACTCGTTTATTCATGACTTGCTTAGCAAAGCTAAGAAGAAGAAGATTTCTTGTTACGAAAAATTGTTTACTCATTCTCGAATTGCGTTTAGAGTACTGCTTATTTACGAGATATTACTGACTACATGTAAAAATACGCCGGAGAGCGTAGGACTAACAGCAACACCGCCTTTTAGTAAGTAGACCGAGCACGTTCATTATATCTATAAATACCGTTGATAAACTAAGATCGGCGGTACATGACAGAAAGGGTCACAGCCTTCCTCCAACTCACGTCTAGTTAATACGGTCATAGCCCTTAATGGCCTAATAAAAAAAGCGTCTGACCGACAATTAGTAGAAGTTCGTAGAATACGTACAGGTGTAGGTATAGTATAAATTCGAAACTAAATTAGACCATAAAGTTTGTTTTACCACTTTTCAGTAAACAACTAAATGGATTATCGAATTTAACATACCATCGCAAGTTATTATCTGCGTTGTATAATAGCTATGCCCCCGCACTTAAATTTGTCCACTCAAATATAAATTATATTTAGGAAAGGGAACTTTATTAGCAGCTTCTTTTAATAAGACTGAACAAACGGACGGTCCGTCGAACCTCAGATCGATAAGCGTACTTTCGGTTCAGCAAGGTTTACTGTTCATGGGGCAAATCTTGAAATATTTTCAGCTTGGCTTTCGAAAAAAATTAATAACAAACCAAATCTTTCTGATTTCGAATAGAAATTGAGCGATCCTGCGCGATATTAAATTTACAATGCGCTTTCGACGCCATGAAAACAGAGCCAGTACTAAAACCTGTACATTTGATTACATACAAGTTTAGCCCTATGACGAAGGTCCTGGAATAGCGTGCACCACTGGCACTTTTAAAATTTGGCGGCACTCGCCTTCGCTAATCACTAAGGCTATATCTCAAGAGTCCTGTATCTGCTTTATGCTTCATTAATATGGCCAACGAAGATAGAGCTATTAAGAGTTAGACTGCCTTAGTGATACAGTTTTTTGTTTATCGAAAGAACCTATGTTGTATCCCGAAATAGTAGACCATGTTCGTAGGAGTGATTTTAACATGTATAGATGTTAAGAAGATACTCTCTAGGAACGTGCAGGGGCAAGCATATAATAATAAATAAATTTCAATACGTAGAACTGCATAGTCTAGTATTATAGTGGTACAAAACGAAACACGGTGTTTTGGCCGCTTAGTTTGACACCGAAGCTATTGGATAGACTATATGATAGTCCTTTTTAAGAGATCTGAAGTCATTTTTTGAAAAATTTGTTAAACTGATACAAAGAAGATTTTACAAAAAAAAATTGCTAGATTCAGTTTTATTACACTTTCGTCATCTGTACTAAAATGAGGCATGAATCGATTACACGTATTCGTTGATTTATTATAATTTGCAAACAAGTGAATACATCTCAGTCAAAGTCCTTTGCTTTCTGCATCTTTCATCCACCTTCTGGAAGCTAGTGTATCCCGACTTCATCTTCGAAAGTGACCAATTCGTCGACTCATTTGCGGACTTTGGCCTCTGTTCTGAGATATTTGTTTTCCTAACTGATACAAGTGATAATCGGATAGGGCGATGTTTGTATTATATGCCAGGTGGGGCGGAGTTTCCCACTGGAAGTTCGTTGGCCTTGGCTGGATCATCGAGGCAGTATGCAGTGTAACGGTACCATAAAACAAGGTCAGGTTGTGCCGCCTTTTACCGGTTCAAGAGCTTCTTATTTCAATTTAGTAGCTCAGCCAGCTGAGCCGAATAACATATTTTTCCATGGAATTTAATAACTCTAAAACACCCCTTTCTGATTCCATTATAAGACAGGTACACCGGTTATCCATGAATACTTACTCATGGCGTTCAATTGAAGAGGTCTAATTATTCCAGTTCATATTTAGGGTTGTCGCCAATGTTTCATCGTCGGTAGCAATCTTGTGTAGAAAAAACCTTCTTATATGTCGTACAAGGAACAAAAGGCATGTTGTCAGACTTACTTTTTTTGTTTTCATTGACGCAATGGTTTGAAGGGTCAAGCTTCCGATTAAATAACAGGAGTTGCTGTTCAGAATATCGCCAACAACACATACCAAACAACTTGTGTGGACAAAGGAAATTATCTTTATTAAGTTCATTGGGACCCCAATTTGCGGCTATTTTGAACTTTTCTAGCGTATGCAAAGTATTGACAAGTCTGGGTCATTGCTGCATGCATTTATTTGCATACGCATTGAAAGGTCATTGGTCGACTGGACCGCGTTTTGCTTACCGAGTTCCTGCAGCTCGTCGTCGTTCCCTTATTGTGGCCATCCGAAGCGTGGTTTGTCCTTTGAGTCGAAATCCGCTTCTAAAGCCGCTCTCTAAACAACGCTCTCTATACGTTCGTCTTCGACTTGGTAAACAATTATTTTTGTTTCGGCAGCACTTTTTCATCAAGAAAAAAGTAATGTTGGATATGCGTTTTTTTTAGCTCTAAACTGAACGTACCGAATCGCCACTTACAGCGCTAATGTCTTAGTGAAAACAACAAGGCCATACTGGCAATCAAAACAGTCGTCAAAAACATCCATGAGTACTAGTAGATACTAGTTAATAGATAGATACTAGATAATAGATAGATAGTGGTACTCGAATGCTTTATTTCTTACTCTACACAAATATAGTTGAAGAATTGAGCGAAGTCAAATTCGTACAATCAAACACCATAATTTGATACACATAACGGTAGTATGTTAAATTTATCCGCATTTCGAAAACAAATCATTGTCTTTCTTGCAACAGTTAAATCTCGCCTATTTCCTAAATATAGATTTCACATTTTTTAAGGAAGCCATATTAATCAAGAAAAAATAACTTTTTGTCCCGATATATCACGATCGCAGAGGTCTTTAGTAAAATAAACTTGAAAATGAAGCATTCTATTGCTAAAGTGAAAATATATACGGGGAATTGCATGGTCACTATGGTTTACAGTAAGGTTGTAGACAGCTTGATCGTTTTCACATAGCCCTTAATATTGTTTTTAATTTGTTGCAGGGCACTCGATCTTGCGTGGCACTTCTGAGGGTGAATTGATTGCATACCAGAGAAAGCTATGGGTATCCTTCTTCGACCAAAACGAACACAACATTGTAAGGGCATCATGTCTTGATGCGCTTGCTTATTTTCCCGAAATTTCGATCGCAGCTCTTCCTGAAAAGGTTTGGATCGTGAATATATTGTGTACGATATATATTATGCATTAGTACTGGCACGACTACGACTTACTTGCGTGCATCGCATTTTCATATAATAACCGAACTACTTAGCGTTTTATGCTATTGGTAAACGCCATAACACTAGACGGCGCTATCTACGTATTTGTTCCAATATGTATACCGTTATTTTGCTCTGAGCCCGTTCCTGCTTGAAGTTCCAATCCTTCCAACATTTCATGATACTGTATTGAGAGTCGTCGAGATTTTACTGTATCGGGATTATCTTACCATTCCCAGCATTCCTTACGTCATCCCTCAACCGCCGCAGCCTCCGTCTCTGCTTGAACCGTATGTTTTACTGCTTGGACCACGCCCTTTAACTCTCGGCCGTATATACCTCAACAACCAATAAAACCGACCGCCTCTTCAATTCCGACTTTGATAGCGGTCGCTGGTTCACAGGCGTCTTAGTCTCTAGAATTTGAACTTCACCAACCTACGTACCTAGTCACCAGCTTGAATTGACACCTCATTACCTTTTGCGCAGTTTTTCCGATTCCTACACATTCGGAACCTGTTCTACCACAGCATAAACACGGCTTTAGCTTGGGATTGCGTCAACCCCAACAGTGCTCTTTAATTTAAACCATTAACGAACACATACCTAATCTGCTCTCGCATGAAGTTTAATAGTGACCTTATTCAGTCGAAAGCTCATTCATTGTATTTGCCTGAGCTGGGCTACCTCGAGGTCTTTGAACTCCATGACGGGTAATTTCAGCTGCCTTACATCTAAAATGAACCTTCTGTTGCGTTTCTCTCCACCTGGCTTCTGTTGGCACTGAGATGCTTAGCTTGGAAATGATTCTGCACATCACAGCGAGACAGATACTTGGCTGACCCTGTCTTTTGCTTGGCTTCAGCCATACATCGGTGCATTCGGTAATCATTTGCAAACTTTGCAAAAGCCGTGAAGTCAGGTAACGTCGCTTCAGCAAGATGATTCACAAAGCTGTCACATTGATGTAATTCCTCTTTTAACCGACGCGTTCTTTCCTGAGTGAACCCGTACATTTTCCTATCATCTATTTGGACCTGTGCATAATATCCTGCCGCGGAAGTGGAAACCGCTTCAATAGACGAGCGTTGAAATAAAAGCGTTGAGCGAGTTAAATAGGTGCTTATGCGATCATCCGTGGGCACCCGCCTGTGTTTCTAAAATCCTAACCATTACTTAAGTCTCGAGTAGTTAAGGCATAATAGGTTCACTTACAACGCAACTTCTTCCCCGTTTTCAAACCTTTCACCATGAACCTTAGCCTTGAAATTTGACCGGCCACTTCGTCCTTTTTCGTATCAACTAATGTGCGGGTAAGTGTGCTTCGACGATTTGTTCTCCTCTCGTAGAAATCAACTGCTAACTCCATTAATGAAGATGTAGTTGGTTGAATCTATGAACAAGAAGACTGAACCATGCATAGATTAGCAGCCGTGGTAGAGTAGCACCGCCGGCTGCCAGCCGTTGAACTAAGATTCAGTTTGCAAATAAACCTTTTTTTTATAAAAGATGGGTACAAAGAAAAAATACGCTGTGCTGTTACAATTACATAGCTGAAGAACGTAAGAAGATTAAGTAGGAAATCTCAAATATTTCCTGGAAAACAAAAACTGCTTATAAAGTATCTTTTTGGCAAATATGGACATGAAAGACGCTCGAGACAAGGCCCAAGAAGAGTAAACCAACTCTGAGCGTAAAAGATCCTGTTGGAAGCATTCCAATAACAGGAAAACCAGAATGACGACTGATAGCTGTCAAGCGCTGACAGAAAGATCTCTTGGTGTCACAAGTACAGTACACGAAGCTCACGAGTAAAATCTGGCAATAGATGTTGCAGCTTTTTTCGAAGCCGTAGTTATCAAAGATACCAATTAATAGTTTAATTCAGGGGCTGCACACATGTAGGGAACGGCGCGCCGAAATGCTTCACGTATACACGTCCAGGACAGAGATCCTATGCAATGAGGTTAGCATCACTGCTAATGTAACAAATGATCATATTCTATGTGGACTACAACCAGAATAGAAGTCGGTGATAACAAAATCGATATAGGCGTTACGAAGATGTGTCGTCGTGGTTAAGAGCTGTACACGGAAGCATTTAATCAGCAGAAAGCAGCGAATTAGTAGGCGAATGCAAATGGCCACTCTATCCAATAACGTACAGAAGTGTGTACGAGCGTATCGTCACTAAACGGAACAAAGTCGACCAGACCGAGATCAAGATGGTGACCATCGGGACCACTGAAAAATGATTAGCCAGAATGGATTAACAGATGGATATAATTATGCAGGCACAACAAGGTGGTTATATATAGAAATACAACTCGAACTGAAACCGTGATAGAAAAACGGTCTCAAACAAATCAGTATCAGCCTCTAGATAAGCGTGAAGCGAATGTGACTCATAATAGGGTAACTGTGAAGGGCTGGTGACAGTAATAAACAGGGAAGACACACGGGTCGTTAGTTACGAAGATTACCCAGGGCTTGACGCAATTCTGCACGACAAACTACCGACACATTGTTACCGCCAAAAATATGATACGTCCTGTAAGCGCAATGTCAGAAAAATGGTGCTGCCGATTGTGAATTGACGCAAACAAAAGACCGTAATTAGTAAGGGAGCACTGAAAAAATATTGCCCATTTTTCAGCGACAGTTACCGAAGAGGCAAGTAAACATTTTACAGGCAGACGATGCGGTACCGGCATTAGTTAAACAACATCTATGCGTGCTTGTATTATAAATAAACGCAGGCATGTACTTGCGGCGTTGAGTGAACGAAATTCTCTGAGTTCTACAATGCAGAAGCTGAAGGGAGTCGTTCAATGATATCAAGGCCATACAGATTTATCTTCGTTGAAAGAGGGGCACTGCAGAAAATCCTAAAAGACATCTGAGGCAAGAATAGTGATTCTATCGCTGTACATGCGAGTTCCGTTTAATAGAAGGAACTGCTATCTGTCACAGAATGATAGTCGACTGTGACAAGTGTGCAGACTGTACGGATGAACCTTCCAATGATGCTTACCTATGATGTATTTGACTTGGCGTAGTGCTATTTCCATTTATGAATAAAAAAGTGTGACAATAAAGATAACAGCATTCGATGATAACTGGCATCAAGGACAAACTGGGCGTCAATTTCCGTTTATGGTTATCCTCACTGCGGCAAGTGAGAGTTCCGAACACTGAACAAGTCAAATGCAACGAAACTCAGCGAGATCACTTAAATATATGAAAAGCGTGAACTTGTCAAGTAATATTGTTAGACCGCGTCCTATCAAGTACAAGCGATTAGTAAATACTCGAAATCGAAGAGCATTAGGAATGTACGAGAATTTTTTAAACATGTAGGATTTTTTTTTTAAAATAAAAAACTTCGCCATCAAGAACACTGCGAAGTTTGCATAGTCAGAGCAGTACAAACAAACGTTTCGCAAGTGTTTGGTCCGGGGTGTTTGGCTATCAACTGTGTCAGTTGTAAACCACGCATTATTTTTCATACAATCAGGGTGTGACGCTACCAAGGTGTGATCTCCCAACTAACTTTCTTGATATGCAATAAATTAAATGAATTTTTTAACAGCTAATAATAAAGAACAACGCTTGCTTTATCTTCACGTCTTGTTTCATCTTTATATCCACTGTTTAATAGCTTTTCTATTACCTAACCAATTGAGAAATTGATTATGTTGCCACTTTTTGGGTTCCCGATCGACAATAAGAAAATCGTATTTTCGGCGTAATTTCACAATGGAAAGCGGCGAAAGAGGAATAATGTTTCTTCAATATGTTATCAGTCACCCGCTAATATTTTGTGATCTCCGTAAAAACTCAGATCATACCACGAAAGCTTAACCTCTTAACCTAAAGACGATTCTGACTATGTGTGTATGCGATTTATTTTTTAAACATTTTAGGAGGTTTGCAAACTCCGGCTGACGCTTGAGTTTTCATCACTGAACTCGTCAGAGGAGGGTTCTTTAGCTGTACCAGCATCGTTCTTTACTGTAGGCCCGGTGGCCAACATCTGCAGTCATTCGAACTCTGCGCTTCTACAGAAAGCCTTCTCAAATTTTATTAGTACTCGTATACGGCACGAGGTTAGATGTTTACCAAGGTATGACATTTTTTTTTGGTATAATAGTAATATTCAACGTCACATTAACCACCATGTGGTAATTTACAATTTTTTTTATTTCACTATTAATTTGGAAAATATCGTACGTTGTTCCGCAAGGAAAAAGCGTGCCAACTGATTCAATTCATTTGACGTAAATATATGCAATATGAGTATTTTTAACCGAGATCGTGAACAGTGGACAAAGCTAGAAAGAAAAAACTAAGTAAAAAACGTTGCTGTTCTCTTTTGCAACAAAATTCGATCTAATTTATTGCCGTGAGTAGAATACTTTAGGGAAATTGCCTAATAGAAATCCATTTTAATTTTTGAAAGTGAACATAAATCTACTAATTTATGCGGAAATTTGGTGCGGAAATCGGCGTTTTTCCTGACAAAAAGAGTATCCTTTTAAGGGGATTTAAAGTCATTTTAGTCGAGTCTAGTCACATTTCGCTGTCTATATTTGACAACTGGTTCTTCCAAGCTGGTTTGAACATTCAGTTCGAAGTCAATATAGAGCTATCACATATTGCACGCCGGTTTAAGTTTACTCAATTAAGTTATTACGTTAGCTTTAGGGATAACAACAATGCTTGGCCACAATGATATTAACTTTTCCCAGCTACTTTATCTCCATATTATTAATCTCATCAGTTCCCTCAGATCGTTTTTTATATTAAACAGTAATCAAACGCCAATAGTGTGTTCCTGATCCTGTCTGTCTTTTCAAAGAGCCTACGTATTGTTAATATAAAATTGTGACTGCACTGCCTTCTATTCCTAAATCAGATCTAGTGTGTAGTTTATACACATTCCGTCCTCGATCTTCAAGTTATTTAAGGAATACGTCTGCTATTAGCAACGATTATTGGTTGTCTTTTTCTTATAGAGGCTGGCTATTATGGTTAACTTAATGGCTTTATTAAATGTTTTCTATTGCAGACAATAATTAAAAAAAAAACTTTCTTTCTTAGGAGTGCCATAACGGTTCGTGAGGTTCATCAATCATCTCGAAGTATTCAGCAGATTCGTACCTACTCCTCAAGTCTTGCACAGATCCCGAGACTGCAGCAGAGCCTTTTCCATCAAAATGCTCATGATATCCAACCGCAGGCCGCCGGTAGGTATATAGGTCTTCTTCCTTAAAATAATAAATATACTGATAAAATCATATAATGTATATGAGAACATTATTGATCGGCTCTCAACGAATTTTTTTATATGCTAAAGGTGTCAGTTTTACTGTTATATTGATGTAACCTCCGCTAAACTCAAGTAAAGCTTGGACTCGGAACCTAAATCGTAGGCTCACTCGAAGCTTTTTTTTTTGAAATTGTGCTAACGCTTTCTTGATGAAGGCATGGGTGATCTAGTCGACACTGCCAATTGTGGGCGCGCTGAGCACAGAGTAGTCCAGCGAGTTTAATTGTGGGCTACCATGCGACCAAATAGGCTTATTACAACAAATATTCCCTTAGGCACTTCATCTATACAGGGTTGCACAAGGATTCATGAAACGTGTAAATTATTTTCTGTGTAGATCGTTTCGTCTTTTTTGAAGAAACTTGCTAGCGTGACGTTTTTTTTAACTGGGTATCAAAGTCAAAAAATGAAAATTGGTCTGAGATTGGGTTTTAGCAGTAGACATATCCTCGGCCACTCCAGCGATCGTTCCTGCGTCTCACTCTTGTATCGATGGTAAATATTTTCTCGTCAGAGAAAACAAAAAAAAAGGAAAAGACGGCCTGCTGCACCCTGAGAGGCAAACGATATCAGGTATCTCCAACCTTAGAGAATACCTAACCGATTTTTATGGTATAACATGTAGAGGAGGTCTTCGTAAATGATTCATGGCGTCACAGCCATATCCACATGAAATATTTTCGCTAACTATCTTATCGAGGTAGAAGGATTATGCCTGTGAATCGTCATTATCCAAAGAATACGACAATTTTTTTTTCCCGATGCTATTTCTAATAATTTGTAATAAAATATGCTGTATTGGGATGTTTAGATTGTATGAAATGAGACGATTAATATTTATTATTTTATTAAAAATAGCTCGACAAATAATATCAAAAGGATATTCTAGAGATAACAGCGTTATCATTTTTAATAATTCATATTTGAGAGAAAGTTTGCGACCTTTATGTTGAATTAGAATTTACTTAAGGCAGTTTTTTTTATCGGTTAAATCATTACATGATTTAAGTTCAGGTCGACGAAAATCAAGTTGGTTTCTATTTATAATTAAAAAAATTCGTGCTTTTTACGAAAGGAATACGAAATAAAAATACAGATAGATGTGATAAATTGGAAATTTATTTATAAACGCGAGATCAAGTGACAATGTTTAAGTTTCAAAGAGAAAAAGAGAACTGAAAGGTCAGTGGGACATAGTTGCTCTTACCTTCCATCCATAAGGTCCATTTCATAAGTATATCTTTTCCTTATGCCTGTCCTTCCTTGAACCTTTTGAATAAAGTAAACGTTTGGTAGCCTCATCCTCAGCTGGGAGTCACTTAACGAATATAAACGTGAGCTGGTCTAGGTTAGAGATTCGTTTAATCTCTTCGTTTAGTTTTAGAGGCAATGCCAGTAATGAGAACGCTACCCGGTGGGCGCACGTAGGATTCACCTAGTGGGTTCGTTCTATCTGTGTCTGTACCCTTCTTCAAATATTGTGTTGATGAACATAACGCGAATTTAGAGCCCCAAGAGACGTCACTAATTACATGTTTTGTTGCGGATTCCCAGGCACCACAGTGGAGTTTTGGTACTATCTGATGGCTGGCTAAGCAAGTATCTATGTAATTAAGGACATAATTAATGTTGCTGCGCGCAGTAAGCAACGAGTGACTTGTTGTTGCAGGGATGAATAGCAGGCAGTATGACGTATATTCACACGATTTCCAAGAATCTAAAAATTACCTTCTATTTACTTCGTTCATACCCTTAGTGGAAACAACGGACCCAGAGTGCATGGTGATCCGGGCACGTCGCCTCGAAGCATTGCTGTTGTTTGATCTGCATTTCACTAGCTTTAGTCATTTATTCAACTTAAAATTTCATTTTTGTCCTTACTGATAATCAGTTAAGGAAACAATGTTTCCAAAAATCATATACATTCTTTTGGAACGCTATTTTGCGAAGATGATCAAAATTCTAACGTGATGAGCAAGCTCGAGAAGTTCTGGGCGTATCAATGGCAAGACTTAGTACTTGTGTAACCTCAGTTTGACATCATCTTGGCAGCGAGCCACCCAAATATACGACCCGAATCAACTAAATTCTATTGATGTATCAGAGAAGGAAAAAAAACGTACTCACTATTTATATCAACATGGTCACTCACGGCTATCAGTAGATAGATGTCGACCAATGTCAAACAGATAACGCCCTGGAAGTAAGGGAGTGATGATAAAAATGAAAAACTTATGTCTTCAAGTTAATTTACCTGTAAGTGAGAAGACATATTTTATTTATTTCTAGAGTCATTTCGGTGTACCCATGTATTGAGAAAATAACTTGCTTCTTATTATATTCCAGCTGGCCTCCTGCTAACATACAATCCTCCAGTAAAAACTGACCAAGGCGGAGCAGCAAGTAAAAACGCTATGATACAACATTCCAACTCGTTTCTGGCGATGTTCCGATCTCTACTTGAAACCGTGCCTCTTTTTAATGCAAAAGAATGGTTTATGTCGCTCACCTGTCTACCACAGTGGCATTTGCTTGTTGAAAGGTAGGTTTACATCACAGACTTGCACTATGTAGTCCCCATAAGGAGAGTTCTTCATGAAACCTTTACACTTGATACAGCTTGTTGTCTCCAGGGTTATTTTTAATATGAATATAATATATGACGAGCACAATAAACCGTTAACATAAGGAATTTTCATTTGAAATATGCAATGCTTATGCAATTTCAACAATGGAAGTTACAAAAAGGAGCGAGATGGATACCAGAGCATACCAGATACCGCTTAGTTAATCATTGAAAACTTAAATGGCGGTATTCATTTTTAATAATATCACTTAATTTTTTAAGAACAGCCCTCTTTGGCAGCTCCGCATGACTGGCATTTAGATCCTAGTGAGATGTTTGAGGGATCTCTTGAAAAAGATGTGCGTTGCATAACGTCTCGATGCGTATCAACTATCCTCTATGCAATTTTGAAGCACAATTGTTTCGTATTCAAATTGAGTCACTGTATGCCATTTATTGCTTACATAAATATTGTGACCAAACAATCTAAAACAGAAGTCACTTGTTAAAAACAAAAGTGTTTTTATTACAAAAATAAGACTTATGGTGTATCAGTATACTCTAAAGTGTACGGTAAGATACGTAAACTTACCAATTACTTCATAGATAATAATAAATAAGAGCTAGTAAAAATAAATAAGAGCTTCTTGGAGGTTCGATACCTGGTGAAACATTGACAAAACATAATCACGGAATTCCCTTTTTTGAGCTGTTTCTAAGACTGTATCTAAGCAAAATTAGATAGTATGACGACATTTTTTGCATGTACCAGACCTACTAACCCTGGAGGTCACGTTTACTTAATACAACCATTATTCGTTGCAATTGCAGCTTCACTTTAGATGTTGTAAGACAAAATAGTCACTTTCAAGATATTTGTTTTTAACTCCCAAATAATTTTTAAAAGTGCGTTAAGCGATATGGATAATACTTCTCACGTTAAAGTGTCGCCCACATAAGCTACATGCAAAAAATTCTAGCAACACTTAATTTTCACCTCATAGTAGGCCACACATAGTGAAAATCTAGTTAAGTGCAAAAGGTAAAAAAAGAACGCATAAGATCTCAATCATTGTAACTTAATTGAACAATCTAATTAACAATTGATGTTCTGTTTTTCAAAGTGGACGTTAATTTCGATACAGAAGGTCTAGGTGTAATTCTATTCTATGAGTTCTAAATATAAAATACATTGATGATTTCCCGGTTGCCTTTTGAAAGAATCAATCCTTCAAAAGCGCATAAAGGCTAGCAATAACATATATTGTCGATCTCGGACAAAAAAATCTATATCCTCTGTGGCAGTTCGTCCCGCATAGACATATTGGATGATGGCTGACCTCCTTTCAATTTCCGAAAACTACATATTGTTTTGAAACCACGATGAGTCTGTTGGTCTGCTCTAGAAAAAACTGACTTTCTTTTGTTACTGAGTCCGCTATAATAAGCAGCCCATCAGCGTTTATCTCAATTCGAATACCTTACCTTGTACATATGTATTACCGTATGAGTTACGGTCGAGAGTGTAAACAGTAAACAGCCGCTAACTCAAGCGCAATCAGGTTATGAAAGCCTTAGGCGCTAGATGAGACATTGTCGGTCTTCGACCAAGGGTTTAGTCTTTTACAAAAAATATATTTTTCAATAAAAACACAACATTTTTCGCATCAAAAAAGCTACTTACTAAAGGCGCAGTTAGAAAGTCTAAGTCGCCCACGGCTGGACGTTGGTAGCGGTCCGAGGACGAAGTGTAAAACGGGGTTTCGATGTAACTTTTCCAGCTGACTGCCTGCACGCAGGTGGTGATAGCTGCAGCTCCATATGGTTGCGTTTTGAGGGCTTAACACTGTGCTGCACACGACGAAGTTCGGATCGTATCAGGCTTTAACACCACAGTTTTTCCCCTTAAAAACTCACCGTGAGTCTTAAGATGGTCGCAAATTAAACAAAATCATGCAGCTAAACACCTAAATGGCCAGGTGTGCCCAACGTGAATTCAATCCAGGCTTTTGGAGCCTGTATGGTAAATGCATTCTAAAAAGCATAATCGAATTTTCGGTGATGAATTTTGTTGCGTGCCTTTTCTGACCGAATCGGTCTCTATTGACCTTTTTCCTTAGTAAGCTAGGTTCTCTGTTTTACGAATACTGCTATGAAGAAAATGATGATGTACCTTCTCTCACAAGGAGCAAAAACGACAGGTGTTAGCTAGACAGTTTCGGGGTTGTGTCGGATTTCAGTCGGATTGAAGTTTACTAACGGGTTTTACTCGGCATTCCGATGACTGTTCTGTATGATTGTTCGATTAGTGCTTCGTTTCCGGGTATTACTCAGAAGTCTGACCTTGATCGATACCACAGAAAGCCAAGGTATTTTTTAGTCCAATGACATGAGCATTCTTTCTCTCTCCCGTTTATGAAGACGGGCGTGGCCTGTGTGAGGATGATACGGTTGATCAGAAACTCCCTCGACTGAACCGCTCGATAGTGTTTCTTCCATTAAATACTTCGTTTGGTGATATATCGCGGTTGCATTAATTTGTCCGGTTAAACAATAATTTATCAATTTCAGTAATATGATATGGAGTGTTTGGCGTAAACATATATTGTACAAGACTGAACTTAATCGGAGATATTTTCCTCCTTTGCCGTTCTAAATACGAATGGATAAGCTGTCTGTGTCGTGTGCTTTGGACCAGAAACACTTAAACTACTGGAAATCCGTGTCGGGTTCATATGTCTTGCCTTGTTGTCAGTATGATAGGTACGTAAGACCCATAATATTTACCTGGCAGGAGGACCAGTCGTCCCTGTCGGGTAAGTTATACAGTTTAACCACGGCTAACGCTGATGAGGAAACTGCTCTAGTCACTGTTTTCAGTAGGGGCTGGTCGCATATAGATTATGATTACCTGTATCCTTTGTTCTTACCTAAAGCTTTTTACATCCTTTAAAGTATTTTGAAAGGCAGTCATCGTCCCGATACGCGTATAGATTACCGTTTGGCATTCCTACGGTTAAAGGGCCTACCCGCGCTAATCGATCGGTTAGATTTTTAATCAATACTGGTGGGCAGTGACTGACTACGGTGTTACGGTGTTGCGTTGGCCGCATGTATAGGCATGGGTATGGAAACTTTTTATTTCTTAGACAGTAACTAAATATTCTTGCACGATGATCGAGTAACGTTGCCCTTGATAGAGTCCGGTTACCGAAAGGGAAGACTAATTCCCCTAAGCCGCCGAGTTTCTGTGCAACCATGATGACCAGCCCTTGTGAACTAATATCAGTACTGAGGGTGACCAAAAATGCTAGACAAAATGAACAAAGAGACAAGGGTAGGTCAGACGTTCCCTGCGCATCGTGAAGGCTTCGGCCAGGAGTTCATTTTGAGGCAAAGGTGGCGCATACTCTAGTAAGTCATTAAGGGAAGACGCCGTTTTTTGGAAATTGAGGGTGAACTTCCACTAGGATGAGCAAAGTCAGGAACCTTCAGAATGCTTTTGCTCTGTTATTGTAGGAACCTATCTGATAGCTTTAATGCTAGCCGGGTCTGGTCAGATGTCGTGTTTGGGTATCTTGTGCCCAGGATTTGTTGCTTTATCGCTCCAAAAAAAATATCTTAATATTTAATATCGGCTAATTGTGTTACCGAAAGAGAAGTATCATCAAGGTAGAAGGCTCATTTTTAGCAACTCAGTCCATTGACCATTTGTTGTTTGAAGGTTCTCGGGTTACCTAGTCCGAAGGGCATTACATGGGCGTAAGGAGTGCTTTTCTATTTTCTCTTTCTTCGAGCACTAAAATACCCCTATTAGGAACGAGAAGTAATTTTGCCTATGTTGACAAACGTTGCTTCTTTGTGCGGTAAAGGATAGATGTCTTTCCTTGTTGCTCCTTGTAATTGCCATAGAAGTGGTACTCGCTAATCGTGTTCTTCATTGGTGCCACTGCGCTGTACTATCAACTCGACGAGGGTTTAGTGATCCCCTCGTTTCTGATTTTATGGACCTTGTCCTACGTTGCCACTCTACTTCAGCCTGAGGTTTAGAACAATATCATTAAACGGTTAAAGGAGTTTGTTGTTGCCCATCGGTTTTTGAGTTTTTGCGAACGGTTACAATGGAGGCGGGCACAGCTAACTAATGCTTGGTACGCGCTTTATTTGTTGCATCAGTTGCGTTTCTGTGGATGGCTCAGCCAGAACAGAATCACTGTTTACTTTATATCTCGAATGGTTATTGACTCAAGCGTCTGTGTTGACAGTCGGAATTAACTAAAGAGAAAGGGAAGCAAGATTCATACATTTTCATAGAGGACCGCAGTCAGTTAGCAAATATGGTTGTTTGGTCCCGCCGGGTGACGCGTTAAACAGTCGTATTCTAACATTTATGTAAACATAAACTATCGTTGCCCTGATCGATTGCTCGCAAACGTGTACTGTTCTAACGTTGCATGGTGGAATCATTACCGAAATCTCGAAGCGAACTAGAACTTAATGCGATCTTAAAGCGAGCTTAAAAATGTAGCTTACAGTCACTACATCACTACCAGATAGACCAAGGCCGTCGTTAAGGAATAACCGGTAATCCTGATCAGGACGTGATTGTAGCAGAGATTCACTCTGCTGGGTTCGAGGGAGTTCAGTCGTAATGGCTTTGCCCGTTTCTCGACATCACAGTCCGCCGACTGATATACTATGTCTAAAGAACACAAATGTGGATTGAACCATTAAAGCGTGAATACTCTGGGTCGTTTTGTGAGGCCTGCGGCTTTTACACATACGAGTCTATACGCGGTTTACGAGTAAACCGCGTATAGACTCGAAACCCACGGAGCTATGTGTCACAGTAAAAAATTTACGACTATCCAATCATAGTCGTCTACTCAAGGTTGATCATCAAAACACGAAGTAGCCCAGTTGAGTTAACTAACTTTATATTGGTGGTACGAACATGGCGCCGGTGTTGATCGCTCTAATATCTCGTGTATATGATTTTGTACGGAGACACCCTATTTAATGTTTAGTCCATGTTGGAACGCTGTACTCACGCAAAAGAAATTTTTAACCTTGAGAAAATATAAACAAACCATGTTGTGAAATATTTAATATCCTTTTGATATCATGGTGTTCTTGTTTGAAGTAATTCCGTATGCTTTTAAAATCTACGCTTTAAAAACTCAGAAACCTATTTGACGTCTCACCATGGTGTACTCTAACTTCAAAAATTCACCCACCATAATTTACTTCGGTTAGTTCTTCCAATATGTTTAGTCACTTTGTTCGCGGTTGCAACCAGTAATCTTTAGGAAAATAAATCCTTGGATTTTAACGAATAACCACCCTTTTTAGTTTTGTTTGCTAGAGGCGGCGTTTTGAATCACAAATTACGTTCGAAAAGTACAGCTTATCTTCCAATGCACTTCAACCATATCGTCATTTTCCTGGCAAATAGGCAATTATTGTGCCTGAATGTGTACATTTTTAAACCCTGTAATACGCATGGAGGACAGATTTTTGAACCACCTAGATTCGCGTAATAGAACTTTTTCGAAAAGCCATCTAATGTGACCAATGACGCATCATTTGCTCAGTTCCCTTAAAAACGCACGCAAATAACATGATAATGCATGATTGCGTAAAAACCACTTCTCTGAAGAAGAAGGTGAGGATACACACGCTTAGAGAGGCTTTGATCTGTAGTTTTTTTTTTTTAACTAAACTAGTAAGTCTGGTAGTAAAAGCTACAGAACACAAAAGATAAACAGACAGATAGCACAGAAAATCGAGCTTGCGGAAACGTCAAGCTTAAGTATTTTCTTAATTATCCTAAAATGGTCCTAAATTAAACAGTCGATGAGTGGCGTGATTCCTCAAGCTTCACTATATTCAGCTTTAATCTAATTATCGTTTTTCTGAACGTGTATTAATGACAAGGGCGCAGAACATAGTTAACAAGGACGCCTTGTCCTGTACACACTTCTACGTCCAGAACATACTCAAGGTGCTCATGTCTCTGTTGTTTTCCAGTTCTTCGAAATATGCATTTCTAAAAGAGTAATTGCAGCTTGTTCAAATAATAATTAAAATCTGCTTATTTTACATACCTTGTATTAGGGTGGAACACAAGTGCTTACCCCCTTTACTTCTCTATGTCCCTCCTCTGTAAAGCGTTGTAATTTTATTGTACAGTAAATAAAATTTTATGTTGAGTTCAGATCCTAAAGACGGACGTTTCAGATGAAAAAAAGTGCATTTTAGAAATCTATATATGTGTACAGCGAAAATTGTATAGCTGAGAGGACTATTCCTCTATGGTGTAATGGGTAACGAGCTTGTCCTCAAGTTGTTCAATAAGGACAAGCGATGTCTCAGGTTCGAATGCGGGCGTAGATACACTTCTTGTACCACGAAGTACCTGTTCAAGTTACTACAATAGCTTGTCTGTATGTAGGAGACTTTGCTCTGAAGTTTGGCCACAAAATACCAAATTGTTGTCTTAACAGCGTGTACTGGGAGCCAGCCGTCTAAGATAATGTATAAAGGCTTAGTTGTCAAACATGGACCACCAAAAAAAAACATTTTTTAGAATATTACTCAAAGCTAGCTTGTGAGGTTCAGGAATAATATGCTGGAGCTAGAGGATGCACCTTCCGCGATCGACCATCTGAAATCGATGAGCACCGGTTGAAGGTGCTTTTGGGAAAAGGCAGCCAGCAAATATTAACGAGAAAATTAACTGCGGTCATAAGACCACTGACAGAAGTTTGGGTACCCCATAAAGTGAGTCATTAACAACACGCCTTCTCATCATCTCTCAAGATCTCCTCCAGCACCGAGCATCACGAGCCACAATAATAGGTTTCTACATAGAATTGTCACCGGCAATTCAGGCGTCGTCATGTTGATATAAAAAAGTAGACAACTTGGTACCCCCCATATTCTCGAAATTTTACTCCAATGGGTATCACTTTTCTGATCACTAGGAAATTAATTAATAAGCGTATATTTGACAGTGAAGGTGGTCTCGAACCTGAGTGGACAAGTTCTTCAAGAGCAGACCTGGAAAGTTCTACCGAGAAGGAATAAATAAATTTATTAACGCATGAGAAAAGTCACGAAGAACTACGGCAAATACCTAATAAATTAATTTATTTAGAACACGAATACGTTGCGTCTTTTGTTGGATAAAAAAACCTGAAGTTATGTTCCAAACTAATAAAACGCTTCAACATGTGAGCATTTAAGGCCAATGCCATGCGTGCCTCAAAGTCTAGAGTTTGTGAAAGAACGTACTTCAATGGTTACAAAACAATGTCCATTTATTCACATATTTATAAGTATATATGTAAACGCTGAGACCGAAACATTTCGCCCAGTAACTGTGTCCGCATAATTTAAGCACTGAAAACATTAGTTTAAATATTTGTTTATATATTTTTGTCGATTAGCGCTAACGACGCCTACGCTGTCTCATAGAGCTAGTTTGTTGCGTGTTCCAGTTACAAATATCTCACGTTAACTGTTATTTACTGTATTAAGTCAGAGGCTGCGTGCCCGATAGGGTTTAATATCTCTTTTACTATAGTTACGATATATTACTCTCACTCAGCGCTAATGTTCAGCTGCATAGCACGCATCAATAATGTCTACTGCATCTTGTTCGTCTGTTTTTTTTTTGTTCACTGATTCTTTTGATACTGCTGATCGAATTGGGCCAAATACATCAGCTTGTACCGGTTTTTTCTTTCTTCTCTAATTTAATTTAGGGGCAAATCGATACCAAACCTCTGATCGCATTATTGGCTGTTGATAACCGCTCAACATAGACGAACTTGCTGTTTACTAGCGCAAGCTATTTGAGCTAACTGCAGTATTTTCATTTTACTCCATAGATCTTTCATGTCGATTCCTTCACCCTGCCGTCGTATGACGTATTATTAATCTTCGTGCAACAATTAGAGTGAGTTCTTTCCGTATTGCGTAGTGCTCGATATACCACTGCTATACAACAGATAGCTACGTACGGTGCCGCTCTTCATATCATTGTTTGATTATGTTTCAAATCGTTTGGTCATACAATCATGAAGTCTTCAAATTTCATGATTCATACCAGATTCAGTGGCGCTACTATTTGCTCTATTGGCATAGAACGGCATGTTTAAAGGCACAAGTAGTATTTAATATGCTTCTATAATATTACGATTACATACTTTAATTTATCGCTTCAATAGAATAACAAAATATGACAGCTCAGATATAAAGTGTAAAACTAACTTCGATACACACCTATAGAAAATAGGCCCTCTGACCTGGCCATGTCACGGCTTGGGAGGTGAGGAGTCACAAGTTCAAGCTCCGTAAACTGATACATACTTTTGTGCATGGATGCAAACGGCAAGAAAGATATGAACAAACAATAGTAGTGTATTACGAGCTGGCCATTATACAGACCTAAAAGTAATGGTATTGATAATTTTTTCAGGGCTTTCGTGTCTTTAACCAATGCTCGTAAAGCGGAGAGCGGCAGCAATGAACAATCGAAACTACTTGCCTCACTATGGGCCCGCGACCAATTAAGCGCCGTCGCAGCAGAGGTAGATATGTAATGTTTCGTAGTTTCGAATCCACGAATAGATTTTCTAGATATTTTTACTTGATTTATGCCGGTTAACTAACTACGTGTTAAGACCGCAGTCTCGGTTAATCACTCCTTAATTTACAAGAAAATCTTTATGCAAGAATTACTTATATAACAGAAACAAAAAATTATGATTGTGGTTGCTTTCCTAGGTCTGTTGGAAAAAGCCAATTAGTCGAGAACGTGTTATCTGTTCAATGAGACAGGTCCGAAAAGTGATTTGGCACCTGCCTTGCGATAAAAGGGCAGCCGGTGACTGTGGAAAAAAAACAGTTATATATACTGGCTCTAACTGTTGCCGATCTCTAACATTAAGCTTGTAACTTCTATGGTCCATTTTTCTGCCTTTTTCCTACTTTAATAATAAGCGCTGCATACTGCAAATTGCTAGAAATATCTAGACCGCTGCTCTTATCAATTTCGATGTTACGCTTATCCACCTTTGCAGTCAGTCAAACTCGTGTTCCAAGTGTCCTTGGCACATTTAACTTTGCATCACATTTGACAACTTGACGTTTAGCGACCAATAATTATTACACATTGGTTTAATTTGATTTTAAAAATTTTTATTATATTGTCTACATATAAATATACAATAACAATATATTGGATCCAAAGGTTTGACACCTATGACAACGACGCGAAATTTCCATAACAGCTAAAGGTACCGTTATTGTCATCGTGACTATACTTATTTCACCAAAACATCCGTAACTCTTACGCAAAAAACAGTTGGGCTTTACATGATCGATATTAATAAAAAAACATACCCTGATTCGTGCACTTTTCGTTCGTTTTCGCACGTGATTCGTACCATACAAATACAGTGGACACCCTGACACTATCCTGTTACTTCTCCTAAAGAGTTTAGACCTGTTCCCTCGTCTGTTACAATTGTTTCATTATCCCATTACACTTAGCAGTTACCTTTATTATCCTATTGCAATAAAATTTGTTTTTATATCGGGAAAACATCTGCGTTTTTTCCATCCGGTTGTTCGATTGCCCTGTTTTAGATTAACTGCATTTTCCGAATTACTGTTTTACATTGCTATGTTATTCTATTCTATTGAAAGACCGCTTCAATATTTTTGCTACCTTTCTGCTACCGTAAACGCCTTCCCTTTACCTTTCTTCAATTATATGTTTATAGCTTATGACCTGTACTCCTACCCCCTTACAGAATTTCAGCTAGTTTAAAGAGCGGGCTTTTTTAAAAATACTGTGTGGGTAAGCTTTTCACATTTTTAGCGTACAACGTTGTCAAGTGAAACCTGCTCTTACCTACCTTAGAAAAGTGTTCCGATCGATACCTTCTAAGTATATAAATCTAGGGCGTTCCGTCTAAATGCGGATACATTATCAGCTGCTTGTAATAGTAAGCATTTGCTGATCCGCTTTTATTAGTAATAAACAAAAACCACAGTCTTTAGGGCAAAATCGTTAGCTCACTATGGCAAAAAGTAGTGCGCCATTTTCGCTATTTGAACGAGGATTAGTTATTATTCAATCGCTGACAAATCACTACAAAGATTAAAAACGCCTGTTTTGCCTGAGTCGAAAAAAGAAGATTTGCAGAAAGTAAATTCTAACCAGAATTCAGATTTGAAAAGCTTGAAATGTACCGAAATGGTATAAAAAGCAGTTTCTGATAATACTTTTTTTTAAGAGGTCAACGATATATATATATATGTTAAAGAGCAGTGCTAATTGCATTACCCAGATGAGCTTGAACGCTTGGTTCTTTTAAGACGGTTTGTGCCTTGTTGCACCTTTTGGACTTCTGTCCATTTTTAACCCTTTTTTTTTGTCTATTAAAGCTCAAATTTATACTGGATTTTTTAACAACCTTTAGATAGATCAATAGAGTTTACGTTCGCCAATATCGCTTGACCCGTGGATAAAACTTTTTGTGGATCTTGAAAATGACTAGTCAGTGATTAAGCTTTATTGACCAGAACTTTCGATTATTGTAATTAAGGTGAATGAAACTTATACTGAATAAACGTCAAAAATGACTTTTTTAGCACATATGAAAAATCACTAAAGTTTTTGTTCCAGTTTAGTTAAAGTTTCAAAGACGAAGCGTAAGAAAGTTCGGACTTTAACCGGGTCACCCTTTATAATACATACAAGAGTCAATCGGTTTCTGTCATTCTAGAGAAATTATTTCATAAGCTAAGCTAACTTACTAGCGTTCCCAAGTGAATGGCGGCACTCCGCCTGTTATAGCAGCGGAGTTAATGCGAAGTTGCTTGGTTCTTGTCGAAGACGGGAAAAATTGTAAGAATCACTGCAGCTATTTTTCACAAGGTCCGGGTAGGTATGCATGGCGGTCTGGATTCGAATCCAAGGGTGGACAAGCTTTTTTCGTGCTTGTAGCCAGCTGTCTAATGGAACGGCAGTACCGGACGTAAAACTCGAAACAATTAGCTATGCATACAAACTAGTGCTCGGTAAGAATATAAAATTATTATTACTTTCCAGATGACAGTTTAGCTATCCTTAATATACCTTTACAGAATATTCCTTAATAGAGAAGATTCGCGTACTTTATTTTGTCAACCTCCTTATTTTATCAAATCTTTATTAAGAATAAAATAATAATTTTATTCTTTATTATCTGTTTTTATTTTACTCGCGGAACTAATACCAATGCCAATGTCAATATTTGCGTAAACGAAACACAAACAAACGAACTCTGAATATATTTCATGTCTATGGACGCACGTTCATTTCTATGTTTTCGAGAGATTAAATTGCGCGTCTTCGTTTACCTCATTAATCTTCGAAACAGAATAGTGCAAGTTCTCACCAAACATCTGAAGGAAACGTGTACCTCTATAGTCGCAGATATTAGTAAATAGTAGCCTAAATATTGATTTCACTTTCTGCAGTTTTACCTCTCATTATTCTAAATAGACCCTATAGAAACGTGAGGTTGATATACTGTATTGGCGTACAAATTTCGATCCCATATGTATGTCCTATTATTTATTTTATACGAGTCATTTCGTCCTTGTTCGCATAGTTGAATTATCTTTTATTATTCCATGTTTTACTTTTAATGCCCCCTGATTTGATGCTCTTCTATAAAAACTTCTAAAAAAAAAAAAACTAGAATTGGAACAGTGTTTCCGTAAACACCACGTCAGGTAGCTGCATCGATACTAAGTGCAACCGAACATTTTAGTCGGTTTGCCTGAAGCCGCTCAATCTCACTGCAGTGATCCGCGCAGTCTATAAATAGAAGCTATGCCCTGTTGTCATAAAAATGAATGTACTCGTTATCGTCGTCTAGTACTATTTGCGCATTTCCAAACATTTATTTCTATAGTAGAGAAATAGCTACCGAAACGAGCACAGGGTGAGGCTAATTGACTCTGTTTTATTATCTCTACTTATATCTTGTACCACGCTTGTAGTAAGCACGATTTCCGTATCTTCACAGAAATAACCGAAATCGCGTAAGCGGGTCAACTTTGCATTAAGTCGTCTTTCTCTGGGAAAATAGTTTTATTTAAAAATGTATAGTTAGTGGAAAAATGTGTGCAACTTAGGCAGAACAGCATTAAATTTTATAGCAGCAGCAGCAGCAAATGCCGCAAACACAGATCATTTAATTTTTTGGGTAGCTTTTTATTGTTTACGTTTCGCCTTTTCTCGGCAACTTCGTTACGTGCTTAATAATTCAGTACATATTAGAATGAGAGTTACGCTCAGATTCTTCATTCCGACATGAATATCTGACGCCGATAATTTTTCGTGATGCGAGTGTAGAGGGATCAAATTTGAGTCGAAATGTACACAGTTAGACAATGCCTGTGTAACTTCAGCCCGTTGCCTTACAATCGGTATCTATGCAGATTTTTACGTACAGACAAAAATAGTTGAAGAAGGTGTTTTTAATAGACGAATAATAATTTTTAGAGAGTGAAAAAGCTCAGAATCGTGTGTATTTTCAGTTTTTGGATAACGCTGACAAACATTTTTGTCTCGAATTTTTTGAGGCAAAAGGATCATCAAAAGAAGCCTATAGGGTTTACTGCTTTTCAAGTACTGGAAAAAAAACCTAACTATAAGCAAAACTAGTCGCTCTATGCACGTACTGTTAGGACTATCAATTGTGGATGAAAGGATTAGTCAAATCGTCGACAACTTCTTCTACAAAATAATTCGGTGTTGAACCTGTGTAGTACGTTAACATCGACAACGATTAAAGTCGCCTTAGAATTGAACAAAAAAGTATCTGCCGTTAGGACAACTTGTAAAAAAAGCGTTCACTTCCAGTCAAAATGGTAGCATAAAAACCACTTCCGCTGGCTATTATCGTAAGCAATGCAACTTTATATCAATATAAATGGAGATGGAAGTGCTATTAGAAGTAGAATTGGACATGCGGATGGAGGTCACGAGGTGTGCTACAATAACCACCTCTATTTTTAGCCCCTTTGCTGTCAGCGAAATTAGTAAGTTATTCCAAATGTTAATCTTCGAATTTCATCTGTCTATTATTTTTCGCTCAGCTATATATTCTTTCTATGGGGTGTGCAGAAAAATAACATTTTCATGTCTTTCGTTGCATGGAAGATTAACGGCCTACCACCTGTACACAACAACTAATTCGAAAGTGTGCATTGTCTGCAATGAACGCCATTGTAAGCCGAATAGAATGAAAGTAAGTCTGACTAAACCTATAAACAAGGTCAGGATCGCCCCAGTCCTGCTTCTTGAATACGCGTTTTAATATCGTGAGAAAAGGTTCCACATGTGTTAACATCTGAGTATGTTTTTTCTGGCGGCAAATTTGTCCCTGTCCTCGTTGGCCTTACACTCAAATTCGAAGTCTGCAGCTACTGTTGCTACACATATGATCCTTTAGTTCACTGCAAAAACTCGCGCCACACGTCTTTTCTTGAATTTAATATATTAACGTGAACATGTTGTTGATCATTT